TCATCATACATGGACGTGGACAGACAATTACAGCACATTAGTTTGTTTGCGTCACCCATACCGATGGGATTCACAAGAGTAATCCCCAGTGCGTGTGTGTGTGTGTGTGTGTTGCGAAGAAAAGCCAGGAAGAGGCAAAATTGTGTGTGTGTGTGTGTGTTGCGAAGAAAAGCCAGGAAGAGGCAAAATATTTTCATTTCCACAGCATATAACGGAGATCACACAACTGTGTCCATCTCCTGTGTCTATTGTTGCTTTATGGGAACCGACAGACAATGTCTTTTTTTTTTGCAGTTTGGGTGTTTCCCTTCATAAATGAGGGCTCCATAATAAATAGAGCATGATTTAATTGAATGACACAAACAAACCAGCGGTGGCATTTCATCCTCTGTTTGTGCTACAGTGGCTATTATTGTCAGGGTGAATCAGTGATGAGTAAAACGCTCACTGATCTCGTCATATGTCACATGTCTGTGTAGATTTATTTAACCCTTATATGATGCATGCACAACGAGGAGCAGCTTGTGTATAGTCGTGGGCTGAATGGTTAACTCTCCTGCTGTGTCTTTTTTCTACAATTTGTGCATCTGTTTAATACACTGGGGAGCCTCCCGCAGCCTCCTTCCATGTTGAATGATTGTCTTGGACTAGTACGTGTGCACACATAGAGGGGAAGGGGTGCTATCTCTGCAGATGAGGCAGCGGGCAAGCAAGCAATTACAAGCTGGTAGGCTTCACCTCGCCACGCCCCCTCCCCCCACCATTTCCTATACGTTGCCGAGGGGCTCGCTGCATTAAGAAATCATGGTTATAATGGTGGAATGGGCCTCGGGGCCTCCTCCAAAACAACCTGCTAATCCCCTGTGGAGTGGTCGGGGAGGAGGAGGGGGGTGTGAATTTGGGGGTAACAGGGCAGGGCAGGCGCCCCGACAATGAGTCCACCCCTGACACGCGCCAGCACCCTCAAACACCCATCAACCCCACCCCACCTCCCATCAACCACAGCAACATCCTCCCAGGGGAGGAACCAGCCATGTCAGCCATGGGAGAGCAGGAAAGCCCCAGGCCTGACGTCAGCTCTCCATCTCAGCCAGGCCTCAAGCAGGAACATTCAATAAGACCACAGCTCCATTCTGTCTCTTTATCTGACACAGCACAGCACTCGAAGAAAGGCTGCACTCGACATCAAGCTTTTCCAATCAAACACTGGTGGAGAACTCTACTTGCACGCAAACAGATCCGAAGCAGCTCGTTAAAAAGGTTTAATTATGTGTCTAAATTATGATGAGCAATGACATGCTTGATTGGTTGTATCAAAGGGCCTTAATGAGGAGAAAGGCCTCACTGTCTGTCTGAGCATTAACTTGACGTCTGCTCTCTGAACGTCACACAATGCAGCCTCAAGTGTTTTCTGCAGTCAGTGGCTGAGTCAAAGAGTGTTTGTCTTCTGTGACATTTGTGAGATTGCTCTTCATCTACTTATGAAGCATTGGACAGACATCCTTCGGTATGTCTGTCAGCAGCGATTCCGCTATGTCAAATCATCATCATAACTTCACGACTACTCGTATCCTTTTCAACCGTAATCTCATCCTATTTACTGGCAACCTGAACCGTCTACTGAGATGCACGACTTTGATGTATAAAAGATTCTCCCTTTTGCTTCAGTGTAATGTCTCCATATCCCACGCCCAGCACATCCATTTAGGAATAACATCATCTCATCAATCTTCCAGCCTTCTCGCTTCAGGTTAAAAACCAGTAATCACTCCACTGGTGGGCTAATAGGCGCCTTAACATCAACTCGCTGAGAGTCCATTCATATTTCATGAATGGCAGTGGCCCCCATCCTCCCTGTGTCCCGCTCCGCTAGTAAGGCGAATCGACATCAAACGCCGCAACCTTCCAATTAGACAGCAAGACGTTCTGATCTCATCTCGATTTGGCCAGAGATCAAATGTTCCTGCAAGGATCCGAGGAATTCCAAACCCTTTTAGTTGGCCTGCCTCCCTGTCAAAGTGGGATAAAATGTTCGCTGAATGCACCTGGAGGAGATCACATTTAAAATGGCTAACGTAGGGACTTACTTGTACCAATATTTAGATATCACAGCAATTCTACAGTGTGGATATTCATGAAGGACCCAACCGGGTCTGCTATGGAAAGCAACAGCAGATGTGGAGGAATGATGTTTTGCACAATACCATTTCAGGTAGTGTTTTGCTATAAGTTGTGGAGGCTTGTGGAAAGGCTCCAGCTCGTCCTCCTGGCATGAATAATTTAAAATGAGATTCCAGGTGCAGGGATCAATGGTCACTGCTGGTGTGAGCTTATTTTGCCACAAGGATGAACAGTTGGTTATCCTTTCGCCCTGCAAAATAAGTGAACAACCTGGAAAATAGTGAAATTGATATTTTGTCATGTGGAATGAAATTGCAATAACCACAACAAACCACAAACACTTAGCAACAGCAAAGTAAAAACTTAAAATCATTGAGCTATTTGAAATGCTCTACACTAAAACTGAAGAGTCAAAGAGCACAGAAAACCCCATTTGTCCATCCAGCTTTCCAAAACTGACAACCCAACGTTCATACCCAGTCTGTGCCTGGTGACAGGTGTACAAGTGAGCAAGGTTATAATTCCTCTTTCAGGTTCTTTTGCAGTCACTACTTAAGCCACAAAGATATATCAATTGGCCAGTGTTGTCAGCCACTACTTGCCTGTCACAGATAGAATGATTTCAGTATATATATTGTCTGTTATATGCACTGATATGATGATTTTTCGACACATAGTTTGTCCTGCAGAGCACCACTCTTCACGGTACTTTCAGCATCGTGCAGCACATGTAGCAGAGCAACAGCTGAGCAGTCAGAGGTGACCTCACGGTAAGCTGCTAACTGGTTTGTTGAACATATTTATGGAAAGCTAATCAACAATGACACCATCAGTTTCCCTTCTCACTGTTAAGCGCACATATATTTCTACATGTATATGAAGAATAATATATAATAGTGTAAAAATCCAGTATCAGAGTTCTATCAACATCATTTCCATGACGTACCAGCCTTTTATCCTGCCTTCAAATGTGCTCATTTGGAACAAATATTGGCACTTTTGCTTTCCACTCAGAAAACACTTACGTACAAAATTCTTCCTTTGTATCACAGCTCTGACCTTCAGGATTCTTCTTAAAGCACACGAGTCTGCATTGATTCACTTAGACAGAATGAATAATATCCTCTCCAGACACCGATAAGAGACACCAAAGCACATGAACTTGTCTAAACCTCTGACTCCAACCACTCGACACACTGAGGTTGCCGTTACCGTCACCAAAACTAACCTGTGCCACCAAATGACCATTGTGCGACCATTGTGTGTGCATGCGTAACCAAAAAGACCTGAATTTCACAAGAGGAAAACATCCTTCCTCAAAAAGGATCGGATCAGGCCGCAAAGAAGCGCGCCGCTGCCAAAACATGTCTTAAAAAATAAATCACAACCAATTAAGGGAGTCTTATTGCATTTATTGAGGGAAAAGGGGGGGATAAAGAACTTTAATCCAATTAACAGGGCGCCCTCTAGCAGTTCGAGGACAATGGCGAGTATTTAGCTTTCAAAATAAATGTGCTCCTTTCATCCAGCCAAGTGAACTTTGACAGCAGGGAATGGGTTTAAGTAGCTAAATGGAATAAATCTATTCAGTCCTATCAAAACATGGAAGCTATGGGCTCCTGAGGACTCTGCCCTGCACAGGATTAAATATAATAACTGCAAAGTGACTAAGGTCTGATATTCAGCTCTTACGTGGACGAGGAAGGGAAACAAGTCGATGCCATGGGAAAATCTAGCGGAGCAGTCAAGTGACCGGACCGCAGAGTGTGACAGGGAGAGGGGCCAAAGGCTACTTTTCTGGTTCACTGTGCTTCACCGATTTCAGGTCACGGTGGCAAAAGATTTTTAACATTAAGCAACATTTACACCCAAGGAAGAGGGACAGAATTGTTCAACTGAATGCATCAAATCAGTGTTTTATCAATTTGAAGAGAAGCCACTTTTTTTTTCCTGGCATCCCTGCAAAAAATGACTGAATAATAATTGGCTCATATTCATGGACACTGTTGGACCATGTAGGGACCAGAGCATCACACACAGAGCAGACCAGCATCTCTAGGGAATATTATTATGAGACATTTAAACCGCCTCTCAGTGGCTGCATCTCAATGAGATCCCTTTTTTTTTTTTTTTTGCTTGTAAAGACAGGGCAAACAAGAAATTCCTACCACACAAACAGGACAAAGCCTGTGTAGGTTGTTTTCTTTCTTTTTTTTTTCAGCCACATTTGGCTTCGGTTGCGTTGTTGTCGCTTGTTTGTCTCACTTCAGTGTGTGATCCAGAGCCCCCCGACAGTCTGGAACAATGCACTGTAGGATGCACACACATTTTCCAGGACCTCTCAAGGTCCAGAGCAAATCTCAGTGTGAGGAATTAAAACACCCCTCTAATTTACTTCTCCCTCAGATTGCTTTTTCTTTCGAAGAATTTGCAAATGCACAAATGCACAAACATACAGCGACTGACTGATTTTTTTCTCTCTTCATTCAAACACACACAAGCAGTGGAGGGTCAAAATAGCTCGTTAGTTTATACCCTGACAATGCAAAAGGGGAAATAGGGCAAAGGGAAAAAAAAAAAAATCAAAATGTGGCAGATCATTTGGTAAACCCAGGGGGGTCAGAGCGACAGCCCTGTGCTTTGCAATGTGGCAGTCAGATGAAGCTCCCATCACGGGCTGTTTGGGAAAGAGAGATCTGATGCTGCCTTATGCAAAAAAGAAAAAAAAACAATCAGTCACTGTAACAGTCCTGGAAATCATCATTCGTGGAGCCACTTCACCTCCATCCGCACATGCACCACAAACTGAACGCGAGTGAAAAAGCAAAGAGGACAGCCGCTTTTTAAAAAACGTAAAAGGCACAAAAATAAAAACTTACCGACGCCGTATTTTTCGTGCTCTGTAGGTATCCACATGTTTACGGTCGGCGCATTTAAGTGAATAGCAGCGAAATGCAGGGTTTGGGGTCTGGGTAACGCATTCTATTGGTGTGCTTTCCTCCGGTCTGTAGTAGGAGTCATTGTTTAGGTTACAGAAGGAGAAAGCGCCGCCGCCGCTGCTTCTGCTGCTGCTGCCGCTGCTCGTAGTGGTACGGAGTCGTGCTGCGTTCACGAGCTGTGGGAAATAGGACGACGGCCACATCAGAGCGCTTCGACAGCAACAGAAATTCGATTTTCCATCAGTCTCCTAATTTTTTTTGGCATTAGGAGGAAGACTAAATAAAAGCGTTACCAACAGATTTTATGTTTTTCCATTGTTGATCTTAACTCTCAGCAGTCGTTGTGTAAATTCCTACCTGAAATGTTGAACTGTGAACGTCCACACTGGTTTTTGCTGTTATTTAGCATTAGCATTAAAATATTTATTTGATAGTCCCACTAAAAGCACAAACAATTATACTAGCTAGGCATATGTGATATTGTTGCCTGTTTCTGATATTATTTTTGCTTTACAGTAAAAGAAAAATAATAATTTGAAAGTGGGGGAAAATGGCTCAGTGAAAAGCTGGTAGCAGCTAATGCTAAATACCGTTAGCACAAAAAGCTCGTAGCAGCAAAATTAGCCTATTTTGATAGAATAAGATGAGCTAGTAAGTTAATAAAACGCTACATTGTCTATTCACATGCTAGCTTGTTTCCATCATTTCCCAAATTTGTGACAGGGTTAGAAGGCAAAGTAAAAAACAGCTTCACTGCTAAAATATGTTTAAATTGAGATTTCGTAATGTAGATGTCAAATTCTCAGCTGTTGTAGTCCAAAATCCTACTTTACAGTTAAACTCTGAACACCCATACTTACCACACTTGTCTTTGCTAACATTCTTGTAGCATTAGCATTATAATTTTGTGTTTTTGCTATTCCCGCTAACGGCACAAACAACATTAATTGTTAGGCATATGTGACATTTCTACCTGTTGCTGATATTAAGTGGCTTCACAGTACAAAATAAGAACAATTAAAAGTAGAAAACTTGAAACAGAGAACAGGAGAGTAAAAATTTGCTACCAGCTTACGCTAAAAATAGCTATTAGCAACAGCATTAGCTTATTTTCGGTATAATACTATAGGCTAGTAAGTTGTAAGCCTATAGAAAATGCCTCACTATCTATTTTAAGGACTATTAGCCTACCTTAAATGTCATTTCTTCCAGTTCGAATGTTCTATCTTGTCATTTTGTCATACATTTTTGCCGTAACAGTTGTACTTGATTTAATGTGCCAGTAATTCAGGGCTACAAAATGTAGTCTAGCTTGTGTGGTTTTGAGTGAATTAACAACTGAAAAGTCAAAACAAGACTCACCTAATGCTAAATACCATTGGCACAAATAGCTAGTAGCAGCAACTTGAGCCTATTTTTGGTGGAATAAGGTGAGTGAATAAGCTAGAAACTAAATGAAAACCCTTCACTATCTATTTTAAGGACGAGTTTCCTACATTTAACATCATTGTTAGTCTCATACAGGCACTAAAATATAAACAAAACAAGGGGTTTTAAGTGAAAAGTCTCCTTACTCCAAACTGAGGCTTCACTGAGACGTTCAATCTGTGTTTTATTATTTAAGGTCATGACCTTTTGAAGTGGCAGCTGAGAGTTAAATGTATAATATAGAAATTTCCGAGGTGCACATGAAGGCAGCAGCATCGCCAGCGCAGCGAGAAACTACAGCAAGGCATTCTGGGACTTGTAGTAACAGCCACTGACGTCAATGAAGGTCTCTGTATCAATTGCATCTTCGACACATGAGGGTATTGTTCCGTGTTGGACCTTTTTGTTAAACAGAGGGCTGGAAGTTGTTTGTTTTGTTTTGTTTTTGGGGAGCTCTGAGGGTCTCCCAAGCCAATGAACCTTTATTTATTTTTAAAAAGAAATGTAAGCTCTGATTTACTGTCCATTCAGCCACGGTGGTGCACCTTACAGTGAAATAATATTAAGATAGTGGTGTTGAACATGACCTTGTGAGAGTGGAGAGTTCTCCTGGACGCAAAAATTTCCACTGGGACAACTAGATCATGAAAAATACATGAGGATGAAGCAGAAAACTGGAGGGAGTTCCACAGCCAAAATGAAAGAGTTCATCCCTCAGCCAGAGAAAAAGTGAGTTGCCAGTGTCTGTATGTGGGTGAGCGCACGTGCACCCAAAATGACACATTTTTTTATGATCTAATACACCCATACACCTCGCACGCTGTTTTCTCTTTTCTTTCACTCCCTCGTCATCATCATTTGCCTGGGTACGGTCGGTGTTGTATTTGAGCACAAAGGGATTACAAAAAAAAAAGAAGATATGTTCATTTCTCATGCTGCAAATGGTGCATTAAAATGCTTTGAAGTGTCAAATGTGCCTTTTTTTTCTCTGTCTCTCATCAGCGGTTCACATGTCCACTTACCCATCCACCTTTGTAGTTTATATGGTGAATTATGAATGGATGTGCCATGAAAAAAAAAAAAAAAGCAAGCAACCCGAGGCTGGCTTTGTAGGTTAAAGTGCATACCACGCACTCACATGGCATCACAGGCCGAGCGCCATCCCCTGTTTTTCTTATCTGCCTTGTTTCTCTCACTGTACACACACGTACAGTACGCAGCGTAAATGTCATGGCATACATTAAATTAAATAAAGCCGACTAGCACATAGAGCTGGATTAATTTTACAGTGGGTTTCCACGTTGCTTTGCTTCATCCCCATCCTTCGATATTTCTGATTGGAGAGGTGGGGGGTTGTGGGTGTAGGGTGGGAATGCTGTACTCTACATATGAATAAATCATAAGCCAGGGAGCAAAGTAAGACTGAAACCCCATGGATTCATCCCTGAGAGGACAGGAGATTGGAGCCAGTGTGCACTTTTTTTTTTTCTTTTTTTTTTTTTATATAGAGTGGAAACTAGACTGTGTTCTACATCAATGAATCAATGCTCAAACTTCTGCTGCCTTCACGTTTTATGTTGTGATAAAGGTGAAGAATGTGGCACAGCAAACAAGAAAAACGGGTATTGGACAGATAAGATAGACAGAGAGGGTGACTGCCAACTGCTGAACCTGACCTGACTGAAATAGTGCCGTGTTTTATAGTCAGATCTTTGTCCCAGAGTGATTCACACAACACTATATAACACTCTCTCTATATATATTTTTTATTTTTTTATCACATTTCAGTGCTAAATAAAATAACAAACGTGTCATTTACATATCAAATAAAAGAGGTCATTCACACAGCAGGAGGATTATACGATAAGGACTGTTCGTAGTTCACACACTACTCCAAGTATTTCCATCTTATTTCATATTTCTAGTCTACAGCATTTCAGAGTTAAACACGTTTTACTCCACGACATTTATTTGACAGCGAAAGGGACACATTAAGATACAAGCCATTTTATATAATGACCCTCAGTCATTTTATAGAACAGATGCATTGTCAAAAATGAGAATACTACAACATGTATACAACAATTAAAATCATCTCCAACTCAACAAACTACAGCCCGACAACTACTGTCCAATATCGCGTTCCTTTTCAGCAAATGAATCAAAGTCTCACATGTTTCCAGAATGTGTCTTTTAATTTTGTCTGTAGCTTTAAATGCTTCTGAGCTGCTGCTGTCCATACCCTCCTCAGGAAGAAGACTCTCTCTGCATCCTCAACAGTTGATCACATGGCAGCAGACACCAACATGAAATCAGGACTTTCTGTCACTCTTAACTCTCTATCTATCATTTCACATGGAAATATAGTTGAATTCACAGCACAGCCGCTGTTTTTAACTCATGTGTAGTCAGACAATGTTGAAGTTACAAAACCAGTATTTTAGTGGTGCAGAGCTGGAGCTTGGAAATGGCTCTAAAGTGTTGATTTCACAGTTCCTACACATTCTGAAAACAGAAAGAGAAAAACATCTAAATGACAACACCTTCATTGGGAATTGACTTCATATTAAAACACAGTATATGTGAGCACAGAGAGGAGGAGAGAAGTAAACAGACGTAAACACTTAGGTTGCACTGAAGTACAACAAATGACAGGAAAACACAGTAAATAAAGTTTCCACCATCTTTGAATGTCCCTCAGCATTTCAGTTTCACAGAGCTGTGACCTGTGGCTCAAAGCTAATGGTAATGTTAGCTATATTCATTGTGCAACACACTAACACTAAGGACTTCCCTATTGTTGTGATGACATTAGTAATTTACTGGATCGTTAGTTCTTCAAATGCTGGGAGTGCATGAAGACTCTTGTGTTCACTCTTGCAGCTAACAGCAGAACATATGGTGTGTTTAGTTAGTGACTTTTACACACAGTGAATGTCAGTTACATTCAAGTGATTGCCCAAGTCTATAAGCTTTAGATAAATCGGCACACATTTCCTGTGCTTGTGGCAATACATTTTACATCTACCAGCAGTGACTGGACAGCAGCTACAGCTATAGAGACAGAGTACTCTACAGAAACCAGCTATATAGTGGAAAAACTAGGAAGTGTCCAAAAAATTTCTAGTGCTCCAGATGAAAAAGAAACTCAATGCTCAGAGGAAGGATGACAGTCTAAAAAAAGGAAGCAAATGACAGTGATGGCATACCTTACAAGCACGCATCCAGTGTTTATGTGACTACTCTCACCACCAACAGGGAGGAACAAAAGTTTCCTGTTGCACTGCACTGTAAAGGCTAATCCTACATATATTTAAAGAGAAATTTACTGTCCCCTTCGTGTCTGTGATGTCAAGCTGTAAGTCCACAGACTGACAAAGAATGATGAAGTGACAGCTGAAGGGCTGAAGATGGAAAAACAGGGGGAGAGGGATCAGAGGTGGCATATCTGTCCACTGACCACACTGTGATCGGATTATCCTGGTGGGCTGAGGACAGGTTGAGTCATCCGGCATTCTGCTCAGGTGTTCACGTCTTTTCCTTCACCTTCTCCTCACCCCTTTGTCTCTTCTTCCCTGTCCACACTCCCAGTGTCTTTACTCGGCTTCGTGTTTGCTCTGAGTTTCATCAGGGAAGCCCATATGTTCCCCGCAGGGCATCGTAGTTGGG